ATATGTAAAAATGGTGCTGGTAGTTTAGAGTAGTTTAAGAGTAATATATGGAGAACGACTTAATTAAAAAAACATAAAAGGTAGATGAGTAATTAAGTAAATAATCATAAAATGTTTTTATTTAGTCTAGCTGTCGCAATAACAATAGAAAAACAAAGCCTACTTGCTGACAGCAGGTAAAATAAACTAATAAAAGCTTGCTAATAAACCAAGAAATATAACATAGTGATTAAAATAGACCAAAAAACTTGAAGCTAACTTGATGCTGCCTACGTCCTTTCACTCAGATGAATCATGTGCAGTTTCCGCTGGCATAAGAGAACCATCTTCATAGACCTTTGCCTTGCCTTTATCATGCGTTGTAGACATTAACATCTTAGGATCTTCGGATTCGAACATATCGCTCAAGTTGCGCTTTGCTGATGAATCGCCCACCTTTTCCATTTCCTTTGCAATTTTGAGAGGTGTAGAAACCTCATCTTCTTCATCAATATCATCCTACAAAACACCCGTAATTATTAATAATACTATTTCGAAATTACAATCTACAAAAAATGATATAGATTCTATACCACATAATAGCTGCTATCATCTCCTCGAAGCATGGTCAAAAAGTCGGACACCTACGATATTTAACAAAAAATGTTAGGCCCATGTTGAAAGTTAATTAAAAAAAACAGAATTCAATTTATAACCTCTGGTGCAACTATGAGCTGGTTGTACTTGGAAACAACATCTTTGTCATTTACTACCCTACAAACAGTAAATGACAATGTGTCCGAGTAGCGTTGCTGCTGAATACGAACTTTAAACAGAACAGCCTTCCCGGTTAAACTCTTTATTTCTTCGGGCAACTTATAAGTTGCTGCATTTTATAAGAAGAAAAAAAATTGAAACTTTTAGTTAACGACCCCAAATAAATTTGCTGAACCTTTACGAACTATAGAATAACAACCTTGCGCATGAATTCAGATCTTAAAGAGTGACATGTTTTTCCAATGAGGATCTCAGACTCTTTGTCCCAACAGACAATATCTGCATTAGCTGTTGAATCCGAGATGCTCAAGTTCATCTTGTATCTATTAACCAGTTAATAGTTAGAAAAAAACAATCAAACTTAATACGTATTTTGAAAATTATAAAAATACCTGAACTTGCCCACTTCTTTTGAGCATTTGCTACACTTGAAACCTATGTCCGAATTCAACATTTTGCTGCTGCAACTGCGGCAAGCAAAATACCACCAATCCCCCACAACAGAGTCAATCGAAGCACATATCCATATGCTTTTATCCTGAAGGGAAAAAATAGTTGTAATTTTGAAGTATAATTATTAACGAATTAAAAATTTGAAGTGTTAATTAAAATTCGGAAATCAAATATATATACCTCTTTATTTTTGAACAAAGATTCCACGGAAAAAACTGGAATATCACCAGACTGCAATTCCTCTAATTCAGTCTTAATAATAGTTTTCGACTTTGAATTGTATTTTGTCCTATTCAAATTGCTTGCAGTGTACCTAAGAATCAAAATTTATTTTTAACATTTAATTATATGATATAAATTAAGAAATAAAATTAAAGAAATTGATAAAGGTGTAATTTAATTTAACCTTCTCCAAAAGTCATGGATCTCCTCCACTGAATCGTGTGCAATTAGCTTAGTCACGTTTAGAGAAGTAGTAACTTGTACTTTTTCTACAAAAGCAATTTAAGATGTTAGATCGGGGCTCGTAGGTATTGAAAGTGAAAACAAAAAAATTGTTGATGATACTTACTAAGGTATTCTTTCTCACGTGCTTGTTGCATGATGAGAACCCATGGTACTCCAGTATGTTCATAGTGGCTTTCAAAAGCCAACAGTTTGTCAACATAGTGTTGTAGCAAATTAATTTATTTTTTTTACCGAGTACCGAATCGAAGGATTCGTTCCCCGGGTCGATCTCTCGAGGAAGACTGTTCGGAATTTAGCGTTGGTCTTGATCACACACGAAAAGAAAATAAGTCCTAAACACTCTAATCACGATTGATTTGAGGAATCAACTAAAACAATCTAGATGTAGAAAAACAATTTAAAGAAATAACAATTAAATTTCTAGAGAAAAAGAAGAAGGTCTAGGGGTCGGGAAATCTCATCAAGTCTTAAACTATGTTGAACGCTTATTTGTTTGGTTACGAGATTAAACAAGCCTACACGTCTAGAGGGCTATGCTCAATAACTCTTCGTAACAAGAGCACAAACATAAACGATAAATTCATTCAAACAAGCAACGCATAGACAATACTTTTACGAACATGTCTACTCTATACGAGCCTAAATCGACCGACGTCTCCCCTCTCGGTTCTAAACGTCAATTAACTAGGTTAGAATGGTGATCAATCAACTAACCATATAATTCACACAACCCGTATAGATTGAACAAAACACATTCCTCATAATTCAAAACAAGAATCAAAATCCCTAACCCTAGGTGAATGAATTACCTCATGCTTAGATTCAATTTAATGTTAACCGGAATTAAGAACATAAAACCAATCAACAATAATAAAATAAAATTGAAAAACTTACAATCGGATTAAGAGTTGCAAGATTTCAATCCAAATAACTTTGTGTCCAACAATCCAAGCATGAGAGAAAAAAAAGAAAAGCGGAGAAATTTATCCTAACAATATTGAGTTTTTGGAGAGAAAAATTGAAAGGAACGATATTTTGGATTGTTCCTTAGGTCTGGGGGTTCGTTTTGATATATAGTGCTCGAAAAACGGAGCTAAAACGAGTAAAAACGGAGAAAATAAAAACAGGGTCGAACAAGTCGCGACTCGCGAGTTGACTCGCGAGTCGCGAGTCTGACGGATCGTGGGTCGCGCAGCTGGTCAGAGGCTCTGTTTTAGTCGCGAGTCGCGACTTTGCTCTCGCGAGTCGCGACGTAGGCTCGCGAGTCGCGACTTTTCTCTCGCGACTCGCGACTTTGGACTGCACTGCGCCATTTTACGTTTCGGGCTCGTTTGGGCTCATCCGAACTCGGAATTGAGCTCCGTTTTTTGCTACGCGTCACTAACGAACCCATCTATCCAGTTGTGCTCTCAAAACCAGCTTTTCTTGAAGAGAAAATTCGCTCGAAGCTCCTGACCTACACACCAAAAACGACAAAACACAAAAGAAAACCGGAAAAACAAATGAAAAACACCTAAAGACTCAAGATGAAGGAAAACACATAATAAAACATGAAACGGACTAAAAACTAAAGAAAGGACCTAAAATAGGGGAAAAAGAAAGATAAAATAAACACGAAAAATGCAACAAAAATAGGACAAACACATAGTCGCCCCATACTGTGCAGTTTATGAAATTTTCACTACATTTAAAAAACAAAAAATTTAATAAGCGCGATTTCAAAGATGTCTATAGATTTCAATTTTATATAATTAATTATAGTTGTGTAGACTTGCTTCAAGTCCATGAGGATGAAGGCCACCATTTGTGTATCACCAGATTTGACCTGCTTGTCTTGTACACTTTGGACATCAATAACTAATCCAATGACATCTACGAAAAAAATAAAATGGTTGTTACTCTATATATATAAATTTATAAATAATCTGTAAATCAAATACGTAAAATAATATTCCCAAAAGTATAAAGTAAAAATACCAAATAGGATCGATTCGTCTATTTTGTTGACGTCTTGCATAGTTGCAAAGTCTCTGAATGAAAATCGGAACATAGGAAAAGACAAAGTGTCTTTGCATTTCATAAATATAGTGCCCCCATGTAGAATTATCTTAAACTCGCCATCCGTAGATCTATACATACCCAGGTTGCTATCAACTTGGTAGTTTCGTATAAGAATGACCATGCCCTCTTCAATGGACTTCTCTTTGAAACCCGGTAAGTAGACTGCTCTTAGGAATGCTGTAATGCGTTTTCCCTTCACAATTAAATCGAAATGGGAATTTAAAAGTAATCTATATGATATGTAAATAACAAATAACAAATACAGAAAATTAAAATCGATTAGGAATCCTTACCGTTCTATCATGCAAAATAAGCTCTAGATGCGACTTGAATGTGCTGCCCTTATCTTGATAAAACATCCTGACAATGCGAACTTTAAGCATTGGTCTTTTGCTCATGTTAATTTCTTCTATTAACCCAAATGCTTGATCCATCGGAGAGTGTTTTTTTTGTTCTAAAATATGCGATTGTAATATGGTGAATGCGTGATGGTGGTAATGAGAATATGTATATATATATATATATATATCGTTGTTGATGAAAGTATTCTTGTTATGGGATTCTTTTTAATCGGAATGAAAATAAGTTGGGAATTTGTTGCGTGTGGACTTTTGAAATCAAAATCTCCGAACAAATATCGATCATTCACACGTTTTTAATGTTGATATGGTGTATCAAAAATATCTTATCCTTATTAACACCTAGTATTTCGAAATTTTGTTTCTTTAATTTATCTATGACCAAATATTCTGTCCTTATCTATTCTTTATAAGGTGGTAACCAAAAACAATAATGGGATAAGGACTCTTGGAAGGCGTGTACAATGGGAAGATTTGATGATAAGTAATTTGTATAATTAATTAGTTAAGTAACGGTGTGAAAAGGACATAACATAGGCGTGTAAAAAGGACATTGAAGTTGCTTTTTTGGGAAAGTAATTAATGCAAAGTGGCCGTTGACTACATATTGACCTACTAAATATGATAAATGTTAAATCTTATAATATAAGTATAGATTCTAATACATATGTTTTATGTTATGACCAATCATCCAAGTATCCAAATCTAAATGATTCCCTTAATAATACTAGCCCGTGGATGACTAGTTATTTTTCCAAAGAAAGTCAAATAGATTCCCACTATTCGAACCTCCCAACACATCCAACTCATCTCCTCCACCTCCTCCTCTAGATTTCAACCGCCGCCACACTACTACATTTCTGGGGAAAAAAAAAGAAGCTTGAAACCCCCCTTTTTCATGACATGGACGGCGGAGGAGGAGGGCCAAGTAGCGCCGCTCCTCAACAAACCGGCGGCGCCGCCTCCGTCGGCGTCCGGATACACAGTAGCAGCCGCCGCCTGCCGGACTTCCTCCAGAGCGTCAACCTCAAGTACGTGAAGCTAGGGTACCACTACTTGATCTCCCATCTCCTCACGCTCTGCCTGGTCCCGTTGATGGCCGTCGTCGCAATCGAGGCCGCTCAGATGAACCCCGACGACCTCCGCCAGCTGTGTCTGCATCTTCAGTACAATCTCGTGTCGGTCATAATCTGCTCTCGACAACCTCCTCGCGACCACTGGCGTGAAGCCCAAGGAGATTGGGGTTTTGGTCGTCAATTGCAGCCTCTTCAATCCGACGCCGTCCCTGTCCGCCATGATCGTCAACAATTACAAATTGAGGGGAAACATCAGAAGCTTCAATTTGGGAGGGATGGGTTGCAGTGCTAGTGTGATTGCCATCGATTTAGCCAAGGACATGCTTCAGATCCACAGAAATACATACGCAGTCGTGGTCAGCACCGGTAACATCACCCAGAATTGGTATTTTGGGAACAAAAAAATCGATGTTGATACCCAATTGCTTGTTCAGCTGCTCGTGCTCCCGATTAGCGAGCAGCTGTTGTTCTTTGCGACTTTAATGATCAAGAAACTGGTGAAGAAGAACGTGAAGCCTTACATACCGGATTTCAAGCTCGCGTTCGACCACTTCTGTATACACGCAGGGGGAAGAGCGGTAATCGATGAGCTGGAGAAGAACCTCCAGCTGCTGCCAGCTCATGACCCTGCATCGAAATGGGCCTTGGGCCGACTGCATCGAGAGGTATCCTGTGAAGGTAGTCTCTTAGACCTTCTCCAACCGGTGTGCAAACGCACCTTGAGATGGAATATTTTTCTCCAACCGACCTGCGTATTTGGTCATTTCTCTCTCCTCTCAACGCAAATTTGCGTTTTACTGTTGATGAACGCAAAAAAATTAAAATCTTTTCAATATGGTCCTTCAGTCTGTTGTTCTTTTATTTTAGTATATAATTGGCTATTTTTTTTTTTTTAAAGTTTTTTTCCTTTTCTACATCTGTGTTTCGCGAAATGTAGAGTATATATTCCTATGCATTGTTTAGTAATTTTTACATCTTACCCATATACATAATACAATTATATATAGTACTTTTTATGTTTTATAGTATCATATATTTACTTATAAGATTTTCTATGTATTTTATTTTGTATGTTTTATACTATTATATATTTTAGTATGTATTTTGATACATATTTTTCATTGGTTTTTTCATTTTCTATTGTCTCATAATAAAATATATAACTAGCAAAAATTTGATTTCTCATTTTGTGCGTTTTAATTTTTAATTTTTAATTTTATTTTTATTTTTTAATGTGCGTTGTAATTTTTAATTTTATCTTGTGTGTTGTAATTTTTAATTTGCGTTGTAATTTTTAATTTATCATCTTGTGCGTTGTAATTTTTAATATTATATTTTGTGTTGTAATTTAAAATTTTAATTTTTAATGACTATTTATTTATTCGATTTATTATGTATATGATTATAACTTTATAATAAGTTTATTACATAAAGTACAAATTGAATTGAAAATAATAGTGTGGTTTAATTTGTAAAATTGTAAAATATATAGGTAGTATTGAAAAGTTGTAAAAGTTGATGTAAAAGAGAATATTCCGAGAATATTCTTTTGAGTTGGATAATGGATTTTTCGGTTGGAGATGAATTACTGCAAAATGGGATAGTTACTGCAAAATGGGTTTGAGTATGAAGTATTCGGTTGGAGATGACCTTACCATGTATCGGGCTTGGCTTATATATGTATACATATATATATATATATATATATATATATATATATATATATATATATATAGTAACGTCTTGTCTATTTTCTAGTTAGTGTTGTATTTTGTTGTTTCTTTGAGTTTTTCCTTGTTTCATGATTTCCTCTATAGAGTTTTCCTACTAGATTGGATTCAATCTTGCTGTTATACTATGGGATAGTTGACTTGATCATTGTTCTCGAGCATTGTTTGTTTGGGATGAAAACCAGTTAGAAGGTAGTTGAGAAAATTTGTGTGGCTTGTGTAATAATTTTTTATATATTATTCTATTATTGTGGACCATATAATTGAACCTAATTGAATTAATAGTCAAACTTATTTAAGGTGAATATATATTTAATGGATTATTAATGTTCTAATATTAAAGAGTCCAATTTGTGATGTTTGACTTGGATATTAAGTTAGGTTAGAACATGGGGAATGTTAGTAGGAATAGGTTTGTAGGATTCCTCCTATATATACTACATGCTCCTCTCTCCCATCTCATACGCAAATAAAGTTCTCAACATCAAGGGCTTTATGAAAAGACGAGAGAAGCGGGAGAGAGAAACAATTCATAGGCAAAGGGGAATCCATCATTGAAAATTACGAGAAAGATAGATCCATGACATTACGAGACGAAGAGATCGCAGATCAACATCATAGATCAAGAAAACAGGGAAGGACTATAAGCTGGATTCTTGTAAGTTCTATGTGCAATTTAATTTATGCAACGATCCATATTCTATGAACTGATAGAATTACATGCTTAGGGTTTATTCAATTCCGCCTGATAGTTATGAGTATGCCCGTTAAATTTCTTACATGTGGTATCAGAGCATGTGTTTATACATATTATTATTTTGCCATATAAAAGATTAGAATTGCGTGTGATAATTAATAACGATTATATCATATTGCCGTAGTGTTTATTGGTCAATTGGTTTCATCTTGAATAATTCACTGGACTGGGACAATTGGATTATTGAGGCCTGAATGTTGGCGTAATAGATGGGTAAATAAACTTGGTTGTGAATTGTGATTTATTTGCTGTGCCTGCCGCATAATGGATATTTACCTTGGATGTGATTTATTTACTTTTTGTTTCATGAAAGAAAAGCATGAAGGTTTCCAATGATTTATTGGTGTGTTCTTAACAATTTGAATGAATTAGTTGCTGAACAATTAATGATGGTCGAGTATTGTGATTGGGAATTATTTGCCACTGAATTATTTGGTTGAATATTATTTTGTATAAAGTATTAAGTATGGTATCGATACTTGCGTAGAATGAGATTAATCAAAGTTTTCATAATCTCATGACACTCTGACATGTACAGTTTAAGTTGTTTGTTAAAGGTTTTAGTTCCCTTTCAATTGTAGAAACTATTAACGATATATGGAGATTTATTATAGTTTTGATATATAATCTCATAAAATACACATATCAAATAAAATAATTTTTTAATTATATTATCTATGTAAAGAAACTAGTTAGTCACCAAAGTGACCTAGTTTAATTTATGGAATAGATAATTAAATTAGATGATATATCATTAAAATAAAATATTATCTACTTATATTATCTATGTAAGAAACTAGTTAGTCACCAAAGTGGCCTAGTTTAATTTATGGAATAGATAATTAAATTAGATAAAAATATCAATTATTCAAATATAAGACGATGTCTTATTAATGTACCACAATATTATAATAGTTGAATAATTGATGTTATAGATTATAAACTAGGAGGACACCCAAAGGTGGGCCATGGTTTGTAATATATGATAATAAAAGAGAAATTATAATAAAGTTAGGTTAATTAGTGTGTTTGTCCAAAGATAACCACTAATTAATCACAATACCTATAATTTCTATTAAAGATCTTTCCTCCTAGGCATCAATCAAAGATATTATATATTTAAGTATTTGCCCAAAGGTATATTTAAATATATAATTTAAAAGATTTATGAATCCATTAATTTTATCTCAAAGCTTAATTAAATAGCATGTATTAAAGTTTGCAGCGTTCAAAATTTGGTTATTCGTACAGTATTCAATTGGCTGAACTTCAATGAATGGTCTAAGCATATCCAATTTCAGTTAGGTCCAGTGAATTTGGATATGACTCTAATTATTGATGAAGTTCCCACAACCATTACTGATGAGAGCTCCAAAGTAGAGGTAACTCTACGTAGGTTATGTGAGCGATCAAATAGGTTGTGTTTGAATTTATGAAATTAATCATGGTGGATAACATTAAGGCTGACAATGCAAAAGAATTCCTAAATTAAAAATCAAGGAACTATCTCCATTTAAAGTTACAGAAAAAGTCTATTGTGGGAAGTATCATGAACGTGCTATCTACTATAAAGTTTGACTGATGTTCCATCCATGATCTCGTGACCCACATGTCCAACATATAAGCTAAACTTACAAATATGAGAATGAATATGATAGTCTCATTTATGATTCTATTCATCATGAACTCCCTGCCTGTTGAGTTTGGCCAGTCCTAGGTGAACTATAACACCATTAAAGATAAATGGGACTGTATGGAAATTAAGGTTATGCTAGTACAGGAAGAGGTGAGAATAAATTAGATGAAAGAAGAGTCGATTCACTTTTTATCTCATGTGGGAGCCAATAATAGTAAGATAAAATGGGAAACGAAGGCAAATAAAAGGAGATTGACTTTTTTTTTTGGCCGAAACGATAGAGGATTTATATAAAAGCGCACAAATGTGCAAAGTTACAGCCACAAGCTGATACAACCGACGACTGAGAAAACTGGGAGGACAGGTCCGAGGTCCGCCTAGATCCGAAAACTAGCAATGCTAGAATACTCGGCAGCACACTAAAGACTAACACATTACAAAACACTAAAAAAATAACACAAAGACCCCAACAGGGTAATACCTGAGTGTCTGGCCCCCACAGGGAAATCAAGTTGACACTCAAGTTCACAGGGGCTAACGGCCCAAACCAAGAACACGATACAACTAAACAGGGGCCAACGGCCCAAAACCAAAACACCGAACGAGAAACAACACAGACTCAAGCAACACAGAAACACAACTAAATAAAAATGGGAACTAGCAAAACACACGAACATAACATCCTCCCGCAGCAGGTACATCCGAAAAGGACAGTAGACAAAGGAGATTGACTTACTTAAAGTTTTTGTAGGTCTAGTCATTAATGAAACGAGGTATTATTTCTGTAAGAAGTTAGAGCACCTCATGAAAGATTATCTGAAATAAAATCTTGATTCGAAAAGAAAAATATACATTAAATTTTTGTATGTTGTGAATCAAATTTATTAAAGATTCCCAATAATATTTGGTGGCTTAGTTCTGTGCAACTACTTATGCATCTCATATTTATTTTGAGGTTAAGCGTAGTGTACATAATTAAAATTCTACTCTCTTATGGCATTAAATATTCTAGTCACATATCCGAAGAAAAGTTTTGAGAATGGTGAATAATGAAACTATTTCTCATTTGGATTTTAGTGATCAAGATGTATGTGTAGAATGAATTAAAGAAAAGCAAACTAGACATACATTAAAGAGATCTGCCAAGATAAACACTAAAATTTTATAACTTATTTACACTAATTTTTGTGGTCTATTCACGTCCCTCTGTGGGGTGATGTAAAGTATTTAATCACCATTATAAATGATTTCTCATGTTATAGTTATATTTATCTACTACATGAATAGACTCAATCATTGGACTATCTAAAGATATACAATGATGAGATGGAGAGGTAGTTAGATAAATAAGTAAAAGTTGTGAGATCTCACTAGAGTGGTGAATATTAATGTAAGTTCAATAAAAGAGAATAATATCCTAGTCCATTTGCAAAGTTTCTTGAGATTTGAAATATTTGTGTGCAATACACTATAATTGAGACTCTTCAACATAATGGTGTTGCTGAGAGGATAAACCATACTTAAAGAATATGGTTAGAGGTAGGTTGAGTAATTCAACATTAACGTTTTTTATGTGGATGCATGTATTAAAGATTACTGCATATTGGATAAACAGAGTTCCTAGTAAGGCAGTTCCTAAGACACCTTATGAACTGTGGACGAGTAGGAAACCTAGTTTGAGGCACCTTCATATTTGGGGGTGTCAAGCAGAAATAAAAGTATATAATCCACATGAAAAGAAACTTATTCCTAGGACAGTCAGTGGTTATTCATTGGCTATCCGAAATGTTCTAAAGGATATAAGTTTTACAGGACTAACCATAGTACGAGAATAGTTGATTCCAGCAATGCTCGATTCATTGAAAATGTTCAAATCAATGGGAGTTTGAAACTGCAAAGTTTGGATGTTAAAGAAACTCAGGTTGAACAGTCCAGACCCGAGTGTTCATCAATGGTCGTTATTCTTTTAGTTACAGTATCGTCATGTAACTTAGATGAATAACAAAATGATTCAAACCACTTGATAATGAATCATCACAAGCAATCAAGAAATTATAGAACAACCTATGGTTGATGAATGACAAGCCATGAAAAGTAAAAATTCTGTAAAAGTTGATCAATGCTATGAAAGAATAATTACAGTCAATGGATGACAACAAAGTTTGGAATTTAGTAGAATTACCTGAAGGGTCTAAAAGAGTTATGTGTAAATGGGTTTTTCGAAACCAAACACGACTCTAAAGGTAATATCGAAAGATATAAAGTTAGACTTGTTTCTAAAGGTTACACCCAAAAGGAAGACATTGACTACAAGGAAGCATTATGTCTTGTTTCAAAGAAAGATTCCTTGAGAATTGTAATGGTAATGGTGGCTCTGTATGACTTTGAGCTTTATCAAATGGACATAAAGATCACCTTCTAAATGATAAACTTAGAAGGAGATCTACATGAACTAATTAAAAGTTTTTTAGATCATAAGAAATGAAACATTAGTGTGTAAGTTGAATAGATCGATATATGGACTAAAATAAGTCTCTCGTCAATGGTATCTTAAGTTTAATGATACCATCACTGCTTATGGTTTTGTAGAGAATACCGTAGATCGGTGTATCTACATTAAGGTCAGTGGGAGTAGATTTGTTATTTAGTTTCGTATGTCGATGACATATTATAGTTGCTAATAATGTGGACATGTTGCACGAAGTAAAGTATTCTCTCTAAAAAGTTATGAAATAAAGGATGTGGATGAAACGTCCTTGCTAATTGGAATAGAAATATTCTGGAATAGATTACAAG